CCCTCCCATCCCTCCCCCTCCCAGGCCCAACATGCCCTTTGATGACATTGCCTGCTTCGCGGAGCAGGCCCAGAGCCAGGTGCCGCCTCCTCACAGATGCCATTTGTGGGAAATCTTCTCCCCTCCTAGAGTGGGGCCGATGATTCGGCAGCTTGGGGGCCAATGCACAAGGTCGATAGATCTGAAGACATACTGGAATTTGAGTGATACGGACATTCAGCGGCAATTCTTCAAGATGTCATCTCCCTTCGACCATATTGCTTGACGCTTAGCCCGCCCTGCACCCACCTATGCAAGATGATGTACTCCAACTGGGGTAAAATGCAAGAGGCACCTCGAGAAGAGTCCTTACGGCAAGCGATTCTTTACATGGACATTGCTGTCTGGTTATGCGAACTACAAGTTCAACTCAAAGCATACTATGTCCTCGAGCACCCGGCACACGCTCTATCGTGGCAGCGATCAAATGTGCCTTGAACTTGAAACCATGCTGCCTGCAAGTCCGAAGGTCACTGCGCATGTTCCGGCCTTGCAAGAATCACATAGAAGCCAAGGTGAAGAGCCTCGAGGGGGAGTTCTCTCGTTTTGATCAGTGCAGGTTTGGGTTAGTATCGAAGTCGAGCCAGAAGCCTGTTCAGAAGCCCACTTTGTCTCTCAGCAATATGCCGAGCATCCGAAGGGTGTTCCACGAGAAAACATGTTTACAAGATCATGAACACCAAGCGATTTCAGGTTTTGAAGGCGGTATGCGCCGCTCCACATGGGCTAGCTTCTATCCACAGCCCTTGTCGGAAGCTCTAGCCCGGGCAGTGATGGACCAATGGAAGGTGGATCATGCATGATCATAACTCATGGATCTCGAACTTAGCTACTCTGTCCATTTGGAAGCCTAGAAGCAATCGGTGTTACCAGAAGCACATAGTTACTGTACATTGCGGTGTGCATTTGCTGTTCAACTCAGGGCTGTCTCACATAGTGACTTACAAACAGACAGCACTGTCGCGGCAACTTCAGAGAGCAAAATCTTATTGCGTCGGCTTCAACAGTGCTCTGCTGGACATGGGTCATGTTGCTCTGTGTTGCCAGACCTCAGCACAATCACACGTGACCAAAGTCGCTCGGTCTCGACATCGGCAAACCCGACCCCGAGATCGAGCGATTTCGTCCGAAAGCTCTCGATCTCCCTGCTCTCCAGAAAAACCCCTCGATCTCCGGGTCAAGAAACTTGAGGCTGAGATCGAGGGGTTTTTCTGGAGACCGGGGAGATCGAGAGCTTTCGGACGAAATCGCTCGATCTCGGGCCTGGGTTTCCCGACATCGAGTTCGAGCGATTGCTGTTGATCATCATGCAATGCCAGGCCGGGTTACGAGCATTTTTTGCTCTCGAGGCAACTTGCTCATTAGGTACTGGCAGGATGGATGAGGCACTTGCTTCAGCAAGTGCCCAAGAGGGCTCGGGAAGCCCCAGAACAACAGCTCAGGAGGCGGCTCGCAACAACAATACTTCCCTAAACCCTAAGCTCGTAACCCATAGCCGTAGCCTATATAGCCTACTTCGCATAGCTGCCTTTGTCTGTCCATATTAAATACATGCTTGAACTTTCAAATTATCTAAGGTGGCATCTTCCTATCCAGATGATTCAGTCATGACAGATGCACCCGCTACGTCAACTTTGCCAGAGGCAGCAATGACCCGAGACAAGTTGGTTTCAGATATCATGGTGCACTTCGAACGCAAAAGCCCCAGCGTGCAGTCGACATATTGCCCTGCTACATAGATAGTGTCTGCTACTCAAAAGACATACATTGCAAGCTCAACTAAGCCTGCAGCAAGACACCCAGGCCATGGAGGGCCGCAGCAGTTCCTGATGCACCAGTTTCCGAACCAGGAAGCACGGGATGACTTCGCAGAGTGGCTACGTGCACAGTGCAGAGATCGAAGAGGACACCGTCCCCCATGTCAGGAATGTGCAAGATCTTCCTGTCGTCGTGCCGGGAAAGGAAGAGTCCGAGCCTGCCGCTTATGTCCACCCCTCCATGTTCTGCTTCTCAAGAGACTGCTCCCAATGTGGCCCTGTGGAATTGCATAAAGCAAAGTCCCTCCTGGAGCAGTTTGTGGTGGATGGGTTTGTGTCATCTACAGAACCGGTGATGTTGAAGAAGCCCGTGCCTTTGAGCGCATATTGCACCCAAAGCCTATCATCTGAAAATCCCGAAAAAACAGCCAGACGAGAACAGACTGCCCCAAAACAACATCTACGGTGTACACAACCAATGACAGCCTCTGTGAACCCGGAGACCAAAACCTAAACCGTGAATCGTAAAAAAACTGAGCCCATGCGCCCTGACTCCCAAAATACCGTGAACACCGAGCCCAAAATCCTGAAGCCGAAAGCCCTTGAACCGTAAATGCAGACCCCCCAATCAAGGAGCACACAAAAGTAGCTAAGAATACACTTGTCAAGGTATTAGAAAGAGTGTGTTTCTAGGCATTGTGTTGACTTGCAATATTTCAGATGATATTGAGCTGTTTTTAGTTGGGGTGTTTTCCAAGATCGGGCAACTAGCTTGGTCACGTGTCTTATGGCCCACCCCAAAGTACAACGCAAATCTTAGCAAGGCAAGCGACGGGCCCATTGCGGACTTCTCGTTGATCTTCATCAAAGGGCGCTCTCGCATCGTCTCCTGCTTGGCCATGCTCGCTTTCTTTAAGATGGAGGGGCTTTCCATTTTGCAGGCAGGTATGTAGGTGTCATCGAGTCAGGTCTTTTGGCAACAAAGCACTCCATTAACAATCTGACAGGCATGCTTCGCGTTGGCAAAGAGTCTACCCCGCATTGCTGTTAAGTGCCTTCAGCTGGGTGATGCACGAGAAGAGCTGCTGCAGCCTTAATATGCTAAGTGATACTTGCAGGGCTTCAACAAAGTGGCTTGGGCCTGCTGATTGTGACAGGTTTTACAATCTGAAGGTCCTGTCGAGAAATTCGATTCGGGAGCCGCCGACGCCGATCACCTGGCTCAATGGATTATTGAGTCTCTCGCGAGCCGGTAATTGGGACAGCGACGGTGTCATCAAGCAGTGGAATGAAAGCTCAGCGAAATCCGATCGTCTTCTGGGTGCCAAGTACATGTGTGTAAAAAATATCTTGGACCTCCAGCATGGCATTCGAGACCACATCATTACGGCTGTCAACAAGCACGGATGGAAAGGACATAGCACACACTAAATACTTGTAGACTTCCAGTGCATGTGTTGATTCATGGGCACAGGATCAGCTTACAATGAGGATGCCCTCTCATCCAAGAAGCTACTTCCAGGGCATGTTTTCAAGTCGGCCAAAGTGAACAAGCAATCCAGCTGGGTCAGGTATGGCAAGGTCACCGATGAGAGCGCAGCGTATGTGTTCAAATTCACGAATGCTGTGCACGACGACACTCCACTCAAGCTACGTCAGAAAGTCACAAAGGCGATCCTAGAGCACCGATCCGAGGTTTGTTGCTTGCTCGCAAGCTGCCAGTGTGAGTAGCAATCACGAAGTTGTTTATGCCAAAACCAATGAAGTGCATTGCTTAGGTGCACTCGCTGTGGCTTTGCGAGATGAAGTGGCCTCCCAGATTCCCAATGTCGAATCCTTCGTGAACAACAGGCGGCCGTTCTGAACAGACCCATCATGACCCTAAAGGCAGATAATTATCCAACCAGGTTTCAGTGAACATCTTTGATGGAAATACAGCTTCATGAAGGTGTGTAGTGGATGCCTTAAAACCCAGACCCAACGACCATTATTGTCGTGGACCCAAAACCTGCATTTCCAGTAAAACGTCATAGTCCAGACCCATGTGGTTAATGAGCTACAGAACCAGACCAATGAATCTCTGATCCCTTAGAGACGACAAAAACAAGAATTAATGGTAAAGTCCTGGAAACCCGGACATAGTCCATTCTATGAGCTGGATGGATGCCTCGGACCAAAATCGAAAAGTCAAGCCACCCTAAACCCTAAACCCTAAACCCTAAACCCTAAACCCCTGTACCCAGCCTTGGGTTGTCGAGACTGAGGTGGTTGGAACGCCTGGCCAAGGGCGACGTGGGCCTAGAAGTCGAACTGAGCACAGCAGCGGGGATTGCTCGAGTGTTTAGACTGCAGATCTCGATAATTTGGAGTTCAGATTGTGCTTGGTGGTAGAGTGACATAGGAGAGCAAGTACCAATATAATTGCAAATGAGGTTTGAAGCAGCTATTGGATGAGTTCAGCGGCAGCAAACCCTCCGATTCCAAATCTGCAGCCTCCTTCAACCTCGATCATGCTCAGCAGGCCGTGGACGAGAAAACCTTTGCTCTACTCATGCAGGAGATCGACTTCGATGCGCAGGCCTTCGCTGTGTACCAGGCCAATGCCCAGTCCCATGCCTCGTCTGTCGCACACCAGAAAAACATGTGGAGCAAGAAGCTGTTGGACGAAGCAAGAGCCGCCGCAGATGCGTATTTAGATCATCACGTGACCAGCCTGGTACTTTAGGAACTTACATACATGGTGCCATGTCAGGGCTAGCAAGTAGATGTTCCGGTCGTATCCCTAGCTGGCCCAGGTGACAGCCTTTGTTTGGGAATCCAGCCCTCGTTCAGCTGGGCAAGATCCGGGAATGGTGGGAATCACAGCTTACAAGGAGGACCAGCAGAGTCGCGAGAAAGCTCGACATCTTCAGGGCACTGTGCTCCTGCTGCATTAGAGTCGTTAGAGATGCCACTTGCAGCTACTTTTTGTGTCAGCACAGAAAGATAGCCAGCCCAGGCCACAAACCAGAAACTGACCCGGTATCCCCACTGGTGTCTACCTGAGGTGCAAGCAAACCTCGTGAACTTTGTCGCACCAGCACTCATAAAAGCTGAGCATCAGGCTGCCATGCTGAAGGTCATGCAGCACTCCCTGGCAGACGTGCAGAATGTGGCTGTGTTGCTTGCCCCCTTGTTTTCCTACAAGAAAAACGGGAGGTACAACGAGGAGAAAGCGGTGCTCCAGCGTGTGTCCATGACCGGCGCACAAATGGATCGGGTATTCAGCTTGATCTTCAATGACAAGCTTGACCTGCCCTTAGCTAAACCAGAAACCAAACAGTGCACCTAACCTGCAAAGTGTACAAGTGTTGCTTCGATTGTGCTGAGGATGATCGTGATGATAGGCCACTGGTGTACCCCGGGCATCTCCTTACGTCCCCGTCCGTCGATTTGCAGAGCAGTGGAAGTTTCTTGTGGAAGAAGGCGGCCCTATTCCGCCGCTCCCGCACGAATGAAGCAAACCAGATGTCCGGAAAAGACATGATTATCATGGAGCAAGTGGGCGAGTCAGTGTTACCCGCCTCAACTTCTGTCGAGATGGCCACCACCGTCAAAGGCGCAATGAAGTGGGCACAAATCGGCCCCGACGCCGCGACCAAGCTTCTGCATGCCCTCTTGGAGTCTCGGTTTGTTCACCAGTGGGAGCTGTCACCCCCCCTAAAACTGCCTGTTGCATAGTGTCTCACTGCTCCATCAAGGATGGGCTGGATTTCCCAGCCAAGATGGGTTTGGACCTGATCGACCTGAACCCGCTGGTGGGCAACTTCCTGTCAGTGCCCAGACTAAATGGCGGTTAAATGCTTTTCTGTTCCTTCTCTCAGCCCTAATGGTCGGGTGTGCGCCTAGGCTTACGTGGACGTACAGCAGGGATCCAACATCTCGCTCCATTACGTGTGCTTTCTGACGGATGACGAGCACCATGAGTGGATCATGACATACTACAGAGATGTCCTTGCTGATAAGTTCCGCGAGGGCAAGCTGAAGGTTCCGGGACATTCCAAGTGCTGACCTAAGATATGTTCTCCAAACAGGCCAGTCTTCTACATATACTGGGCATATATAAGGTCGGCCTCGCAGCCACCAGCCGAGCGCGTCGTCGCCGCACCGCAGCCACCGACCCTGAAAAGGTTGACTATTGTCAAGGAGTGCAGTCGAAAGCTTCGAGACACTCATGTGATAAAAAGTTGCAACCTAAGGCCTACCAGAATTTACATACTTTTCGCTGTTAACTTCCTAGCAGTTACCATTCCTGAAGTCTAGAAAAAGCCTTGGCCTTAACCCGAAACCTTAAACTTTAACTCCCCTAGCCCAAAAAACCCCAACGCCTTAGACTCCCAACCCTTACTGCAGGATTCCAGTGGGCTCCCAAAGACCGTGGCCGTGCCAGAGCCAGTGGTGAAACAGTGGTTCCACCACCAATCCCATGGTGCTGAGTTCCGAAGGGTTATGGATTCGATTGTTGAAAGGTTTGGCCCGGCTGAAGTCTCCGAGGCGGTTGAGAAAAAAAGAGCTTTGTTTGGGATCCAGCCCACAGCGAAGCGCATCAAAGTGGACTTGACAACAGTCGACCTCGACAAAGTGACTGGAACAGAGGTAGCACAGGCCTGACGGCATCAACATATATGTTTGGAACTACATCAGACCCAAGCAACCCAGCGGTTCCCCCCAAAACCCTAATTAAGCCCCATAGCTAGAGTCCTAAGGTTCTAAGGCCCCGAAGCCAAACACAAAAACCCTAACAACATCTACAAAGCCCGAGCCCCACAGCCTGCAGGTGAAGCTGCCGAACATCAAAGTCGCCGCTGGCATGTCGCCGCCGGACCTGAGCTTCAGGAGTGATCAGACGATCTTCTTGATGAACAACAATCCCGCTGGCAAGAAGGCCACTTTGTTTGGATATCATAGTCGAATCATAATCCGATGGACCCTGCAATGTAAAGACTCCGACCTCGTGAGATGATACAACCCCAAGCGCGAAGCCTCACAACCCAGTCAGTACCCATTACACCCGTGTTGGAGGTGACATTCACTGAGGGCGCTGTGCTTGTGGGCTTTGGCAAAGGCAAGTGGGCACAGTTGAAGCAGGGCGAGGAGCTCAACAAGGCTTCTGACATGATGTTCACTATCACGGCAATGGAGCAGAAGGTGCTGCTCGAGAACCAGCTTGTCACAGTCAAGGATGCACTGGCTGGCAAAACAGATGCCCGGATCCAGTATCACAAGCTAGAGGAGAAGCCAGGTAAGCCTGGCGAAATGAATGTCAAACAGGACCCCGCGATGGCACAAGATTTTGTAAGCTTACACTTTGAGGCTTGGGTTTTGGCGTTAATCTTTTACTCTTTCGGGATCTTTGTTCCAAGTGAGTGTACTTCCGAGCCTGGCAGTGCCGTGGCAAGCGTGCTAATATTCAAGACTGGGATGAGGGCTTATAAAATTAAGGGAACGTAATTGGACTTATAGTGTTTATCTGCGCAGACTAGGAGCACCCTGTGGTTTTCAAGCCCGAGAAGAATCAGCTGACAAACTCCGAGAAGGTAACCCCGGTGGTTGGGGCGCTTTATGCTGAACCGGAATCATGGACCACATCTTTGACCTCACTCGTGTGGGTGGTGGTTCACTCGATCAATGGCTTGGGGCCCGTGCGACCTGTCGTCATCATCTCCTCAACCTTCGAGCTGGATGGAATGAAAGCCGTTGAGTTGAAGAAGGCCTAAAGCCCTTCTGCTCAGAGCTGTGAGGGGAGCCTGCACCACGTCCTGTATGTGATGGTTGTTTAGAACATGCGTTCTCAGCCTAGCCATAAAGCCTTGTGAACTTGCAATAGGCCGGTGCATTTTGAGGCAACCCTTGGCCCACTTACAGTGCGCTACCCTTGCCGCCTTGGAAAACACAAGCCCTCAGCCCTGATCAGTTGCAACCGAGCACTGCTTTTGCACTGTGACCTAGGCATCACAAAAGTGAATACCCCTATCCGGGCTCTAGCCCGGATAACCCTTGCGACAGTTAAAGCTTTAGGGTCAAGGATTGGGGTTGGGGCAGTAGTTCGTCGGCCACTGAAGACCTCCTGGTCAGATCTATGTGCCCCACACAGCTTCGGTAAAGCTAAAGCTGAACCTCCACCCATGAAGTTCTATCTTCCATTCTAGCTACACTCTAGCCACACCCCTACAGTTCCAAAAGGTTTTTTCAAGCCCAGAAGCTACTTCAACCCCGAGAGTTGGGAACCCCAGGCCTATTTATTGTAAGATGACTAAAGCCTGCAACCCTTACCCTGCCCCGACCCCGAGCGGCCTGAGGCCACATCATCGGTCGTCGGCATCCGGACGGCGATGGACGAAGGGGGCCGCAATAGGGTTTAGGGTTTCGGGTTTGGGGTTTAGGGGGTTCAGGGTTTTCGGGGAACGCGGGAACACCTCCTTTTAAGGATTTTAGGACTTGGGCTTTGGGTGTAAGGGCCGAATCCTCAAAAAGTAGGGTTCAGAGTTCGCAATTTTATCTTAGCAAGAATAAGGTTGTGATAAGATGGGTTTAGGCGTTTTCGGGTTTGGGTTGAGGCTTGTTGAGGCTTAGGGGCTGTAGCATTATAGTGTTATCGGAATACTTTGGAGAAGTAATACGTGTTAAGGGTGTTGGTGTTGGGTTTCGGGTGAAGGGCTTTATGGTTTTAATCTTTAGGGAGCACGGTGATTTGGGAGTGGAGCGCCTGCTGGTGCTGAGGTTTGAGGACCTATGGGTATTGGTGAGATTGGGTTTACCAGTATCTGGAGTATGTCCAAAAACACTCAAAAAGAGCGACTCTCGTTTCAGTGCCCTAGACCCTAAACCGCCAAACCCATAAACGAACAAGCCAAGTGTAATCGGACTATGCAAGCACACATACAGACACAAGCAAACTCCTGCAACAAACGCGACCTGACAGTAACTTTCTCTGCTGCATGACTTGCGGACATTCAGAGCATTAGCTTACACTGGCTGAATTGGCAGACATCATGCCATGTCATGGAACTTAGTTCCACATTTGGGGCAGAAATACCACTCAGATTTCCGTTGCATGCCACAGTGTGAGCAATAGCCATAGCTTTCAGCACTTGCTTCCTGTGGTGGAACTTTATGTGAAACAGCTGCTACCACCTTGGCCAGACCGTTAGAGACAGCTTCCTGTTGCTTCCTTTGACTAGGCTGGTAATAGTGACGCAGCAAGACTTCCTCTGTGGTGCCTGTCAGCTGGCTTATCACAGCCGGTGACACGTTCTGCTCACAAAGTTCTGTAACACAGGTTTTCTTCATACTGTGCGTGCCCAAGCGATCGAGATCAACGTCATCATAAGGGTGTTTGCCTCCCTGCCTGTGTGCTTCTGCTCTCTCACGCTGAATAATGCCAGCTGCTGAGCGTACTGCATCGTAATATGCTTTCTCACTAATGGCTTTCTTCCAATTTCGCCGGTCCTTCCCTCCGCAAACACGCCCAGGAAACAGGAGCACAGGCTTCATGTTCAGAAGCGCACTGTGCAGGTTCTGGCCCGGGTGTGGCCATGAGCTCCTCTCGTCACGGCCTTTCAAAGGCTCTAGAACCCAATGCCATAGAAGTGCCGCAAATCCTTTTGAGAGATATATTTCTCTCACCGTGGTTTTGTTGTTGCAGTCTGGGATGGCCACGGTTGGAGGATTCCCACTGTCGGGATTCAAGTTCCGGAACCACTCTGTAGAGGCTTGCCGGGCTGCATCAGCTCTGTCTCCCAGGAACAGTTGTAACAAGCATAATGCCCCTGCCCATGCACAATTGACCTTCTGTACAAGAGTGTGAAACAAGATTCCAACCTGCTCTGCTGTCAGAGGCACCCTGCCTTTCCCCTGGCGTTTTGCCCCAGAGCTCTTCTTCTGATCCTGTGCTTTTGCCTGTAGCTTGCACATGTTCATATGTGACTTGGTGCAGAACCTGACAGTTTGGGCATGTTTTCTCAAGCATCGGCACTGCTGAGGGTTCACATTCTTGATGCTGAGCACATAGCTCGAGTTTTTGCAATCATGGCCCAGCTTTGTGCAGTTGCGATAGCCACACCGAATGCCTGGGCTCTTCCTTTGAAATGTCTTGCATGTCCTCTTGCACAACCTCCCAGTGCTGGGGGGCTCCCTCTGGCATGTCTTGGCCATCCTCCCAATTCTGCCACCAGCAGACTTCTTGGAACAGGCAGACTTTCGAAGCAGACTTCCGGAAAAATCTGCAGAGTTCCCACGGGAGGAGGGCACTTCTGAAAGCACTTCTGAAAGCGCTTCTGGAAACGCGGGGAAACCGATGTGGCCAGATCTCAGGCTTTGAGCCACTTTGAGCCGGAAGCCGAAATGGCGAGATCGGCCCAGACTTTGAGCCACTGTGAGCCCGCTTGATGAGCCCGCTTGAGCCACCTCGCACAATGCTGCACTTTGAGCCACTTTGAGCCTGCGGGGAAACCGAAGTGGCCAGATCTCAGGCTTTGAGCCACTTTGAGTCTGCGGAGAAACCGAAGTGAAATGGCGAGATCCCAGACTTTGAGCCACTGTGAGCCCGCTTGATGAGCCCGCTTGAGCCACCTCGCAAAATGCTGCAAAGCTGGAAAGCAAACACCACACACCACACGCAAAACATGTCTGTCCGCACTGCCGGCCACGGGCCACACACAACTGTACACAACTGTACAC